CTCTTTGTGGAAAAATAGAAAAAAATGTCCGTACTGCTTAGATGATGAGTTGGTGAGGCATTAATTGGCCCCCACCAATGGATAAATTTACCTGCTAGCCATCATGGGAAGGTAGGGAAGAAAGGGCCTGCAACATCCCAAGTCAGGCTCCAAGGAGAAAGACTTTTAAGGGCTTGTTTGACAAAAGTTCTTTATCTTCCTTTCTCAGAGCCTACACTGAGGCTCTGCGTAGACATGCTCAAAATGATTCAGGGAGAGCTGCATGCCACCTGCTCTGGAGATAACTGATACAGTGGAGTGAATGTGGTCTTCAGGGTCCGGGAGACTTGGCTTGACTCCCATATTTATGAGTTCTATGCCCTTGGGTAGGATGTAGACTCACAGAGCTTCGGTTTGCTCATCTGTAATATGAGGTATCACCCACCTCCCAGCACCATGTGTTTCCATGTTCATTGCGTGTGTCCCCCTGAGTTAAAGGGAAACTCCATGAGGTCTCTCTTATTTGCCTTTATATATTCAGTCCTGGACTTGTGACTGTTGTGTGGTAGGTGCTCAATAGATACCGGTGACCGGCTTTGTGTTTTAATTACTTGACATGTCCAAAATACCAAATGGAATCCCTAGCACAGAGTGGGGACAAATGGCTGCATAAGAGCTCATCTTACTGACACACGTCTGAGAGGTCAGAAGGACCTCAGGAGAAAGCTCAGGTATTGTCACTAGAATTATAAATTAGAAGAAAATATACTAAACCAGAAGGAATAGATAGTTGTGTTTTTTTTTTAATACTAGGAATGACATATCAAAACACGAGGGAACTAAGGAACAGAGAAGAGAAATACAGGAGATTCGTGCTTTTGTAGTGCTTGTTAGTGAATAACAGTAACCACAGAGCAGGAAAAATCTAGGGGTGTGACCCTTCTGAAATTTGAGAGTCCATATATTCTTTTGCTCAAAAACCTTTAATGAGCACCTACTAAATGTCAGATACTTTCTCAGAAGTAAAAAAGCTCTAAGAGGTTAGGGATGATGTCTATTTCTTTGGAGAAGATAGGGGAATAGAGGACTTTCTCTCCATTCTGAAAACTGCTTCATCCTTGAAAGGTCTATTTTAAAATTCTCATCAGAAACCGTGAGACTTACCTGTTATGGCTAAGGCCTTAAAGTTTGTAGGAGTAACTCGCTTCCTGAGTTGTCTCTCAATATACTGGACAATAGTCACCTATAAGGATTCGGTTGCAGAGAGAAAGCCTTAAAGGTTCAAGTCAGGGCCCAAAACTGCCAAATGACCCTTTTTCACAACTCTCTCCAGAGCTGACAGTATCATCCAAGCAGCTCCTGTGTTACAGTAGCGAGGTGAGGGAGCTCTTCCAGTGGTATCCTGACAACGACAGGAAGCACAAGCCAAACCCATCAGACGGGGAATGAACCAGACAGATACTGTAACGAGAATGGTCAAATGCCAGAGCACCTCATTCACAGAGTCAGGTTCTGACTTAAGTCATAGGTTAAAAGTTGTTCCCATTAGTGAATTCTCAGCCACTCCTAGACTACAGGCTTTTGACTCCTTGATTCCTGGTTGTATGATCTTCACTGACTGCAGAGGAGTCTGCTCATTACAGACCAGAATTCCCCAGCTGGAAAGAGACAGAGGTACCATCATTAGGAGCACACCGCCTGCTTCCAGCTTCTTCTGAGGAGTTGAATGGTCCTTTGCATGACTCCTTTAAGTCAGTGCAACTTCTAAGGGAAGTGGAGAGTTTGGAAATGGTGGGCCTTTGTTCTGTCCTTTCCATTAGCATCAGGTAAAAGAGTTTATAAGGAAGACTACATGGCTTCTACCTTGTCATGGGCTATCCACATTGGCTTTTATAATGTGAGCATTTCAACCAAAACCATAGTGAAATCTGACATTGACAATCTCCGGAGCCAAGGTATTAATGCTTAATCTTTAAAAAAAAGACAGCATAAATTAGTGACCAGATTATAGCCTTCAGAGTCGGACTCTAAATCTAACTGGCCTTAAGTAAATTACCTAAACTCTGTGAACCTCATTTTCTGTATTAATAAATGGACATATTAGTATCTTCATTATCTTTTTTGTGGAGCTAAACTTCTACTAGGCAATCAAACTTTAGTAGGTACTCAAAATAATTTATGTTAATTTTTATTTTTAAAGAAAAAACAGAAATGAAAGTAGGGCATCTAAAAGGTTAACAGTATTTCTTCTTCCTTTTGAAATAAAATTATTTCAAGCAAATTGGAAAAATCTTCACTTTTATTCTAACACCATAGAGATGCTGTAATTTATAAATTCAAAATGAAATAGCACTACATGTAAAGTGTCAGAGCAATTCATATTACTAAGGTTCCAAGACCTCCAGTTCTTACCCTCTTTGACTTGTTCATCACACTCACCTACGAAGGAACATTTCATAGCAGTTCAAAGTTCTAACAAAGAACCATGAGATAATTGAATTTCATGCAACTTCATTTCTAACCAGTTCCAGTTCCAAGTTTAGGGAAGGGAAGAGTAATGCCAACACATTCTGTAAACGATCAACATCTGAAACAGATTCAAATCAGAACCATTTATCCAGGGCTTGCTATAGACTGGAAGCAAATAAGGTATAGTATCTCCCTGCCAGGAGATGAAAAATATAGTGGGAAATATAACAGGCAGGTTAAATATGTGTTCCATCAGTCCGAGGGTGTTCCATATTCCCTGATCACACAATGTCAAAATAAGGGGTAGAGATAAATGATGCCCAGTGTAGACCAGCAGTCCTTCCAATGTTTTTCTTTTCTCTATCTGGGGTCAGCTAATATTATGACCCGCATAGAGACAAGGTTATGGCTACCCTGATTCATTTTGCTGCTCTTGGTGCCTAAAAGGAGAAGTGGGCTCTAGGGGGAAAGGGGGGAAAGGTCTATGTGGCTTTCTGTGTCATTGCTGTTTTTCCTACCTTTTTCATTGTTTGACAGAAAAAGGGACTCTTCGTTTGAAGACAATTGGGTCCAAGAACATAATGTTCATATTTGCATGTTGGAATATACATATTGTTTGTTTTGTTTCTGTTTATCATGTTGGGCTTTTTTTAGCACAATAGTGCATGGTTAAGAAAGCTTCAGGCATGTAAGAGCAATCTAATCTTGTTGTAAATATTAACTTTACTGAATCAAAACTGTCCCTTCCCTCGAACCCCTAAATTCTAAGAAGCAAGTGGAAATAACTACACAGAGATCCTCAATGGTCTTGTAAACATATTTTTGTGTAGGTTTTTATTGACCTGAATAAAGTCTTTCTGTAAACTTTTTTTTCTACCACTTTTATAAGATGAATTCAGTTGTTTGGAAGTGAGTGTTAAACCAAAACCACCTGCAGCAATATGATATAATGGATAGAAACTTAAGTATGTTAATCTCCTTAGTGTTTTACCATCTACAAGAGGGCATCTTCGGAACACAAATACACACATACAACTGCTGAAGTCATACATGTTCAATGCAGGAAATTTGATAAAAACCAAGAAATAGAAAGGAGAATTAAAAGTTGTGATTTTATCACCTGATTTAGCTATTGTTATACCCAGCTCTTTCTCCCCATGCCTAAAGTTCAATCATCGACTCAGTTAATATGTATGTAGTGCCTCCTCTGTGCTAGGCACTTGGGAATACTTTTGGAAGCACGAAACGCTCTTGATCATTTTGAGGCTTATTTAGGATGGGGAAAGGTAGAGGTGAAATATACAAAAATTATTTTTTTCATTTATTGTAAGTGCTGTGCAAGGAAGTCATGGATGGCATTTTAGGACATGATATTTGAACTTCTGATGAATGAGAATTAATCATCAGAAGGGGCTTGGAGTGGGGCGGGTACAGTCTTAGGCAAATGAACTAAATAAACTACATATTGTATTATGGTCTTTATTAAAATCTTCCCGTATCAGTATTCTTTTATAGCATAGGGTTTATTATTTCATTATAGGAACCTATTACATGCAATTTATACAACTAATCTTTTAAGATATATTTTAATAGGTGCACAATTAAGAAATAATGATGCGCTTCATTCTTGTGCCCACAGACTTAACAACTTATGAGATGACTACTTTAGGATAAACTTAAATTCATACGAGTGAACTTGTTTAGTCAAAAAACAAACAGGTTTTAAAAGATTCTTTTAAAAAAGCGTATTGCCAAATTCACTCCAGGAAGATGTACTCATGTACTCTCCCACCAAAATTCTATGGGAGAATCCATTTCTCCACCCTTTCAGTAACCCTTGGTATTAGTCCTTCTAATTCCTGCCAATTTGATTGGCAAAGAGGGAAAAATCATTTCACTGTTTTCATTTGCATTTCTTTGATTTCTAGTGAGATTCAACATTAAAAAAATATTTTGGGGCTGCCTAGGTGGCTCAGTTGGTTAAGTGCCAACTGTTGATTTTGGCTCAGGTCATGATCTCAGGGTTGTGAGATCAAGCCCCATGTAGGGCTCCTCACTGGGCATGGAGCCTGCTTAAGATTCTCTCTCCCTCCCCCTCCACTCTCTCTCTAAAACAAAAATTTTTTTTGAATTAGGCAATGACATTAGCTGGTTAGTTTTTCAGATTCTGAAATATACTGAAACAATGCAGAGAAGTAACAATGAAGGGAGGGGTTCTGATTTCTGTTTTTACTTTGCTATTTTTGGCCTGCCGTGGCAACAGCCTCTGAAGTAGGGGACATGGATACACAAAAATTGGAGTTTTAGTACTTGAAAAAGATTTTGTGAAGATCTCCAAATGAGAAATGTTTATTATAAATGCCATGATTTTTAAAAATTACAGAATGTCTTTATTATTACCCAAATTCCATACCACCTATAGATTTTAATAAAGACTTTTATGAAGACTAGTTAAAAATACAGTCTCTACTCTTTCCAAATGTTGCTGATACAATATCTATGAATGATTTCTTCAAGTGATAATGCTTTTTTTTTTTTTTTCTTTTCCTAAGGAAAAACTGGTCTACTTCCTGGATTGTTCTTTCCAGTCAAAAACTTGAATTTTACAAAGAATCTAAGCAGCAGGCTCTGTCTAACATGGTAGGTAGTTCTGCTTCTATGATTATCATCCTCACAGAAATATTATTGAATTAAAAGTTTGGTTTCATCAGAAATCCCACTAAAGCCTCCAAGCTACCAACGACTGAAAGCAGATGGAGGAAATGACTCAATAAACTTTTAATCAGATGAAGGGAAAATAGAACTTAGTGTCTGTTTTATTAAGTGGTGCATTTGGAGAATAATCACAAAATGAGATGAATGGTGAGCAACTATCTAGTAATGTGAAGGTAACACTTTAAATTAAGGTGCCATTTATAAATGCTTTGTTCTTATTTATGAAATGATCGCTAAATGCAGCTACTTGCTCAAATAATGTATTATAAAGTATGTTATAAAATGCATTAGTAATAAATGCTTAACGGATGAGACTATGGGAAGCTGTTTTAAAGAATATTATAAGACGTAAATCCTATTAAACCATGTATGTGCATCTTTAATACATGAATTTAAGTTGTTATCTAGCATGGTATAAAGTGCTTCATACATTAATAAATAATAATAAACTGTTTATAAATGGCACCTCAATATAGGGTGTTACCAATGAGGAAACACTCTAAGTTAACAAAGTGATTTTCTATCTTAGTCTAACTGCGATATTCACTATATCCAGCTAACCTTTCTGAGTATTTCTGACTCCGTCTAATGGAGCTAATACAATTTCTGTATCCTGTAGTTATTACATAAAGTGAAATTTGTAGGGTTTCTCTATTGTACCTGGAGGAGGGCCTTACATATGCCCACAGAGATTTGACAGTGACAGTAAGTAGGAGCAATTCTGAGGTAGTTACTGGGGCAATTGGAGCTCAAAACCTTGCTGCCTTGAGCTCCAGAGCTGCCACACCATGAAGGAGACAGTGGGCAGGCAGCATGTCTGACAGCCTCCTGATTAGGAAGGATGCCGGGCAGGAACCAACCTGCCATACCCGATCGGCCTGATGGGCGGCAGGGAAGGGGGTCTCCTGGCAGGAGTTAACCACAATGAACTAATTTGTATTTGGCAGGTAATAAAACGGTGGCAAGTTCTTTGCTTTCCAGCCACTAGTCGCGTTTGCTATGTAATCCTCTTTAAATAGGAAATAGAAAATCATTTGCTAGGAGATGTTTGTTTGTTTGTTTTTAAATAGAAGAACAAAAGGTAGCATTTGGCTTGTTCCTGATAATTGCAATAGTCTTTATCCCCAGGTGGCTTGCTGATTTTGGAGTCTCCGTGCGGTCCAATCCATAAACTAATTATAAATAAATTAAAAATACATCTCAATCCTTTGTATTTTTAATTTAAACTGCCTTAGAAATTTGTTCTAGCCTTTTGTTTTGTTTTTATTTGGGGGCTACAGTAAGGTTGAGATAATCTTTTTAAGAAAAATAAAGTACCCCTAAGGGCTAGGCACAAAACAACTCCCATCCACTCACAGGTCCTTTGTCTTCCCTTTGAATGAGTTCTAAAGGGGAAGTCAGGAAAGGGAGGAAAAGTCGCTTGCCCGGCAAGTTTGGCTGCTGAGAAGATGATCTTCCTCCTGCTGGGTGAGAAGAATTCCACTGGAGCAGCGTTTGTGTGAATGTTCTGGGAGAATGGGAGAGATTAGATTCCAAATTAAAGCATTCGCTTTATTTTTATTTTATTATTTTAATCTCCTCATCCCAGGACCCGGAGACATAATTATCAGCTGCTTAATTTTATCCAGGTGAAAGAAAACTCTTTTTTAGATTGTAGGCAAACCTTTCAAGACAGCTCACTAATTGCCTGCCTCCAGTTCAACCTTCAGATTTGTAAATTGACAATAGATTTTACTTCTAGAAGAAATTCGTTAACGTTTTTTGGCAGTCCCCATTTATTACTTCTGGCCCCATTTTCAATGCTCTTATGGTTTCTCCCAGGCACTCATCTTCAAAGTGAATTCAGGGCAGGAACTAACTGTGTTTTGTGGTAATGGGGAAGAGAATTACAGATTCATGTTTGTACTCCATGAATTGTCGTGCTAGTCAACTTCTTGGATACATTTCTAACCAAGTATTAAAGGCCTAGTGGGATAGCCCACATTTACCAATTCCAGTCTCAGAGAAACGATACGATGATTGCCAGGCCTTGATTAAAGATGCTGTGGTTTTATTTTGAAAGAGATTTATGCTCAAGTTTCTGAATTTCCCTTGCACCCCCTTACACATGTCCTGGGATTGTTCATTGTGCTTCTGGGAAAAAGTCTGTCCTTTCCTCCAAGGGGTCAGTAGAAACTGACTGAGCAGTACAGAATGTGGTTTAAAGAGTAAATGGCATTTTAATCTTTATAGGAATGATCTTTGAATGTTAATGCGGTGGTAAGACAAAGCAGCAAAGTAGCTAGGAGCAGGGCTTTGAAGTTCAACCACAGGGGACTTCATTCCAGTTTTGCTGTTTAGGAGCTGACAAAGTTATTCAACTACTTTGAGCTTCAGAATCCTCATCTGTAAAATGGGAATACTGATATCTGTCAAGAGAATCAATCGAGAATAAAATTAGTTAATAAAAGAAAAAAAAGTAATAGCAATAAGTTAATTATTATAGTCTAATATACTCTATCAAAATATATAAATATAGTCTATAGCATGTAATACAGGGCATAATAGAATTATAATGTATTTTTACAGCATATTAGTTTTGCACTTGAACTGATACAGACATGTGTAGAAGAGAAAATACATTGATTCAAGGAACACCAGCATATATGGTCTCCAAAAAGAGAACTGTGTATCCATAGGCAGCATAAATGTTGGGTCTAAGCACTGAATAATTCTGAAAGGGAAGCCATCGCTCCATCTGGGGCTCACACCAGCATATATGGTCTCCAAAAAGAGAACTGTGTATCCATAGGCAGCATAAATGTTGGGTCTAAGCACTGAATAATTCTGAAAGGGAAGCCATCGCTCCATCTGGGGCTCTAGATGGTATCTCTTGCATGACCATATACATTTTCCTGGGGCCCTCATCTTCTTCCACTGGCCCTTACCCTGTGACGTTCACATTTAATATGGCCTGATCCCACATTCCATGTTTGACTATCTTTCCTTCTCACTGAAATTCTTTCAATTTTCAGCCAAGTCAGATTTCTATCAAAAGCATCCCCCTCCTGGAACTAGACACAGAATCATTTCACCGGTGTGTGTAAATTAGAGATTCATAGGCTTTGGGTCCTCAGTGACCTCCTATTCAAGGAAAAAGAGGACTGACTCATTCTGTTTTGTTTGTTTGTTTTTAGTGAGGACATTTCAGAGTAACCTACCACTTACTACCACTGTCACTTTCTAACAGAAAGGGCATCATAAAATATCCCAATCCCACATTAGATAGGATAAAACCTCAGAATGCAATGCAGTAGTCTTTACCAAAATGGGAAACTCTCCCCCTTCTATGTCTATATACATTGTTTCTATTTTGTTCACTTCACCTTGGAACAGAGAAAGTTTGGTCAAGACTGGCCGGCCCTCCTGCGTAAAGGAGCATTTGAAAACCAATGGTGTCACTACTGGATTTCCTGGATTATGAAGGAAAAGATGATGCTCATATTCTCATCGTTTTTTACATGTTCTGATTTGTAACTTACTTTAAATGTTGAAAATATTGTCATTGGAAAATAGTGCAGAAACCATTTTTAGTAAAATGTATAATAGATATGTATATTTTAAAAGTTATTAATCAAACTCCTACATAACCACTGCCCAAGTCAAGACTCTGTCAGCCCTCTAGAAGCCTCACCCCCTGCCATTTGTTCCTATGTCATCCAGCTTCTTCCCTTGCCACAGAGTTCAATGCATTTTAGTCATTATTTTATAACCTTTCATGATTTTCCCACCTGTATCTATAGCCCTTAAGAAATGTAGTTTACTTTCTCTGGTTTTGAATTTATATAAATTGAAACACAGTGTAGGCTTCTTTTGTTTCTTGCCTCTTTCTCTAAATATGCTTTTTCTTTTCATTTTTTTCTTCCATATTTTTTTTGCACTGGTTTAAGTGATGCCTTTTGTTTCTATTTTGTTAGTGGCTTGTTTAGGATTATAGCATTGATACTTATCAAAGCCTAAAGCTAATCAAATCCTTTACCCTCTTCCAAAATATTACCTTAGAATATTTTTTTTTTAAAGATTTTATTTATTTGACAGAGAGAGACACAGGGAGAGAGGGAACACAGGCAGGGGGAGTGGGAGAGGGAGAAGCAGGCTTCCCGCAGAGCAGGGAGCCCGATGCGGGGCTCGATCCCAGGACTCTGGGATCATGACCTAAGCCGAAGGCAGACGCTTAACGACTGAGCCACCCAGGCGCCCCACCTTAGAGTATTTTTAATCCATGTACCCTCTTCCCAGCATAGATGCTATTGTTGTCTGATATTTTAATTCTTTCTTTTCTTTTTAATACCACCAGACGGTATTTTTTTTTTTTTTTTGTAGAGTCAGTGTTGGTTGAATATTTGCCATGTTCTTTGCCATTTACTTCTTCCTTCGTTTTCTAGGAAGGTTTTTTTCTTTTGTTGGAAGTATATTCTGAGAAATTCCTGTAGTAAAGGTCTTACAGTAACAACATATCTCAGTGTCTGCTTGTTTCAAATGTCTCTATTTCTCCCTCATTCTGGAAATATATATATATTCTCTCTGGATATAGAATTTTGAGTTGGCAGTTGCTTTCTTTCAGCACATCAAAAATGTTATTCCACTATTTTCTGTCATCTATTGTTTTGATCAAGAAGTTACCTTAGTTTAACTGCTGTAATCTGGCTGTTCATAATATATTTATCATTACCTTTGTTTTTCCACAGTTTTATTCTTCCTACCTGGACTGTTGCCTTGAAATTGTTTATAACTGTCACTTAAGTATTTTAGAAATGATCTTATTATTATCTTATTGTTTTGCTATTATCTTTTCAAATGAAGCTTCTTTTAAATTTTCTCTTATCTTTTTCTAAGTCTCTGGTTAAACCTACGTTGTCTTGTTAATCTATTCTCCACATTTTACA